AGATTAGTACCCTTATAAAAGAGGCCAGAGAGAGCTCTCTCACCCTTCTGCCTTGTTAGATCAGAAGATGGCTGTCTATGATGAAATAGGCCCTCACCAGAAAGGAATCAGGCTTGTGCCTTAATATTGGAGTTTCCAGCTTCCAGAACTGTGAGAAATAAATTTCTGTTGTTCATAAGCCACTCACTATGGTATTTTTGTCATAGCAGAATGAATGGACTAAGATACTGTATTTAGAGTATTCTGAATTTGACAACACATTTACCTTCACCAGGGAGTTTTTTACTTCTGTGTGTTTTTATGTTCTTAATAATGTCCTTTCTTTGGTGTTCTTGAAGAACTCCTTTTTGCTTTTCTTGTAAGGCAGGTCTAGTGGTGGTTAACTCCCTCAGCTTTTGTTTGTTTTGGAAAGTATTTAACTCTCCTTCATTTTTTGAAGGGCAGTTTCGCTGGGTATAGTATTTTGATTGGCAGGGTTTGTTTTTTTTTCTTTTAGTGTTTTGAATATATCATCTCACTCTACCCTGGCCTATAACATTGCTAAAGAAATCCACTATAAGCCCTATGGGGGTTTCTTTGTATGAGACTCCTTAATGAGTCATTTTTCTTTTACTGATTTCAAAACTCTCCGTGTCTTTGACTTTTGAGAATTCGAATATGATGTGTCTTGGTTTAGACCTTTGATGTTCAGCGTATTGGGGGTTCTTTGGGGATCATGAATCTGGATACACATTTCCCTCCCCAGATTTGGGAAGTTTTCTGTCATTATTTCTTCAAATAATCTTTCTGTCTGTGTTCTCAGCTTCTTCTGGGACTTCAGTAATATGTATATTGATTCACTTATTGTTATTCCATAAGTCACTCAAGCATTTTTCACTTATTGTCATTCTTTCTTTTCTTTTTGTTCTTCTAACTGGATAATTTCAAATGTTCTGTCTTCAAGTTTGCTTATTCTTTCTCCTGAATGATCAGTTATGCTATTGAAGGTCTCTATTGAACTTTCCAGTTTGGTCATTTTATTCTTTAATCCCAAGATTTCTGTTTGAGTCTTTTTTGTTTTCTATTTCTTTGTTAAAATTCACATTTTGTTTAGGTATTATTTTCCTGATTTCATTTAGTTGTGTCCACTTATAGCTCACTGAGCTTCTTTAAGACTATTATTTTGAATTATTTGTCAAGCAGTACATGGATCCCCTTTTCTTTAGGGTCAGTTGCTGGAGCTTTATTAATTTCTATTGATGTTTTCATATTTTCCTGACTCTTCATGATTTGTGTAACTTCTCATGGGTGTCTGTTTATTTAGAAGAACAGATAACTTTACAGACTGGTTTGGGCAGGTAAATACCATCTGCTGCTTCCCTGGACTTATGGGACTGCCTCTAGGATCATGGTTGAGCAGGGCTGGAGCTGGATCTCGTGGCCATTGCTAGGTCTGCAGTTGGGTCCACAGTTGGCAAGCCTGTTACCAGGGGCATGAATGGGTGTGATTTCTCCTGGGTCCCTGAGTATTCTCCCAATGGGTTGTTAAGCTGATTCCTGGATGGCCAACACTACCTCTAGACTGCAGTAAAGTGGGACTGGAGCTGGGTCACGGGACTGCTTCAGCAACAGTAGTCAGGTCTGAGATCAGTGGGCCTGCTACCGGGGCATGGATGTGGATGATTCCTCTTGGGTCCCTTGGCAACGGGATCTAGAGGCAAGACCATGGACAAATTGGACTAGAGTTGAGTCCACAGAAAGATGAGTTAGCTCTAGGTCTGCAGATGGGCTCATAGTCAGTGAGTTTTCTACAGGGCATGTGCCTGCCTTCTCAAAGTGATCCTCCTTGGTCTTTGGTTCCAGTGGGATTTTGCAATCTCCTACCTGGGTCTTACAGCTCTCCACTTTTATCTGTGGATGGCTGCCAAATATGTGTTTCTGTGGGAGACACAGGTTGTAGACCTCCTATTCCATCATCTTGTTCCTGTCATTTCTGGTACTTGACATTCTAATTGCACCTGTTGATGTGTTTCAGTTTCTGTTAATTCATACATATAAATGGGTTTGTTTTTACCAAAGTTTAAATTACTAGAATAAAATATATTTATTCATTTATTTAACAAAAATTTTAGTAACATTTATGTACAGCATTGCACTAGGTGTTGAGAATGATGGGAAAGCATAGGAGGCAGCATTTCTGTGCTTAGGAAGCTCATGCTATAAAAGGGCCTCCAGCCAGTCCCTAGTGTACAGGAAACATCCACCTAACAAGATCCCAGTTAAATAATTGTCCAAAGGTACCAATTATGGTGCAAGTAAATAATAAACTATATGCCAAGTAGCTGGTAATGACTTCATGGAACAGAGAGTGGGAGCTGGAAGGGGCAGGGATGGAGTGGGGCACAATATAAGAAAAAAGGCCCCATGGAAGCTGCATGAAACACTCCAGAAATAGGAAGCACATCCCAGTGTGGTACCAACACAAAAGGGCAAGATCGGCCAAGAGTACATGCTTTGGGACCAAATAGGATGTGTTCAAACACATGGTTCAAAACTCCATTCTGCTGCCTACTAACTACTTAGACCAGTTTATGGCCTGTAAATGGGGATAATCATAGAACTTACTTCATAGGGGTATTAACAAGATTACATGAAATAATGTATGTGAAAGTCTACCACATCGGAAACATTCAGAAAAGTTTTAGCTACATTTAAAACAACACGAATTCCATGGTGACGAAGATATTTGGGTAATGGCAAATAATCCATTGTTCTCTATCAAACACTTAGGTTTGGATTACTTCTCCATCATCCTCATGTGGAGAGGGACAATATCTCTCTTGCTTACTGATGGATTTCCTTTGTCCTATCCAGTCCCTGGCATATAGCTGACATTTCAAAAATTTCTGTTGAATAAACCAAATCTGTCTCTCATCTGAAATGTCTAAGCAATTTATAAACTTGCCAATTTTTCCTCCTCTGTCTTTCTATTACCCATTTCTCAAGCCTGTATCCTCCTATCTCTATTTATTGACCTAGTTACTTAATTTGTTACTCAATAAATAAATAGTCAATAAATATTTATGGAATATCTCTTATATGCCAGGCACTGTTATAGGTACGGGGGCGGGAGGGGGGGGGGACATATGATGAATTTAAGAAGTTCCTGCTCTCACAGAACTTCTATTCCAGAGAAGGGAAAGTAAACAAAGTAAACAAGCAAATAATTTTGGGTAAACACTCCGAAGAAAATTAAATATTATCATCTCTTGTCCTGCCTTCTAATCAGTCTCTCTGCTTCACATCTGGTCTCACTGACGTTTACCCACTGTCATAATGCTCCATCTAAGTTTCAAATTCTAACTTTGTCACTCTCTACTTGAAGACTTTCCATGTCTCTTGGTTATAATAATAAAACTGTAGCTTTTATAATAAAACCATAGCTACCTACCACCCATGACATGAGCCCTACATGCCTCTCTCACCTGATTCCCCTTCATTCTCTACCTTTCAGAACTTCACCTTAACCCCTGAACATCAATGCTATTTCTTCACTTCTATGCCCTTTATGCCTCTATTACCCTCTCCATCACCTCTTGTCATACACAGACTCCTTTGCCTGGTTGAATCCTATGTGTTCATTCAGTTTTCTCAAGCATCCCTCTTTCAGGTACCTGTCATAGCCCACCTTCCTCACCACACACTCACACACACCTCACACACTGGCAGGGGTGGTCCTTCTGCCCACAAAGTGCCCTATGTGTACTTCTATTGCACTTACATTCTATATTATAATTATATAATTTTGCTTCATGTTTCTGCTTCCACCTTCTGTCAACTTCTTACAAGCAGGCACCATTTTTTGTTCATCTTAAAAGTCCAAGCACAATGACTAGGATATACAGAGATATTTGACAAATGTCAATTAAATTTTTTAAATATGAATTTCTAATGAAAGAAATAATAAATGGATAGAAAAAAACAGGCATTACTTTTGAAAAGCCAAAGAATCCTTGCTCTGTATTCATCTCTAGCTCTTTTTTTTCTTTTTTTTTTTTTTTTTTGCAGCTCCTGTCAGTGGACAATTTGGTGAGTTCTCCATTCTTTTGCTCTTCAGTGTCTCTGGATAAGAGTGTCTCCCTAATAAATATGAGGCATTTGCAATGGCTATCAGAGGATCTCTAATATCTCCTGTTCTTGCTGAGACCAGAAGGGATGTGAAAGTGTTACGTGGTCTATTGGCATCACCCAGTGGCTAAGATAGCCATGTGGCTACCCTTTGACTCTCCCTGGAAGAACGGACAAATGCACAAGCAGTTCCTGGCCTTTGGTAGGCCCTGCACTTACCCCTATCGCCAATGGACCCCACTTGACCAGGCAGGACATCTTCAACTCCATGGTAAACATGCAGGACTTGGGATAGGGTTTTCTCCAATCAGCAAGCCAGAAAAACTTCTCTGATAACACCACACTGTGAAGATATCAGCAGGAATATTACATCCTCGATAGTTTTAGAAGTAAAATCCTCCAGGAAATGTGTGGAGAATAGAAGAACATCCAAAAATTGGGGCCTTTAAAGGAAGAAATGCAAAAAAGAAGAGATCGGGGGAGAAGATGTATTATCTGTATCACACATGTTCTTAGTTCTGACTCTTATTGCCATTCTCCTGGGTCAGAGAGTGGCCCATAAATAGCAAGGAAGATCTACATCCTCTCTCCTTGTCCAGAACCAGCTGACCCGGGATTTCTTCCTTGTCTGGGTCACCTCTGGATTCCAGCAAATGACTTGTCCATTCCTTGCTCTGCCACAATTAGCTATGATAAGAGTTTCTGGGCATCTGAATCATCTGTGAAATGAAGGTGTTAAAAAAGTTAATCTCTCAAGCTTTACTCAGTGCCAAAATCTTCAGAAAATATGATTTATCCTTTTAGGAAAGTACAAACCTGTTATTTACACAATTCCTTTGGAGGTTCTTATGAGTTCGTGAACACGATAAACCAATATCCCATGTGGGGCAGGGATGGGTTTCTCTAGGATCCACACCAGACTAACTAGCTATTTCTCCCACTGGCATTTGGCAGTGAATCCCGCTGGTGTTGCCTTCTTGAAATCATTTAGCTCATTGCCATCCCTGAGCAACCATTCTCCCCTGGGGGCTCTGGTCCACAATTGGCCTTAAGCAATCACTGACCTTCCCAGATGGCTTCCTTGGGAATTCTCCAAAGCCTGGTCCTTGGGTCTGTCCCACACATACAACTGTGGTGGGGACCACAAGGTTCTCTATCTCAGACTCTGTCTCTTCCTTCCTCAGCACCTGCACCCAAACCCGTGATTTCCCTCCATCCTCCATGGACCATCGTTTTCAAAGGAGAGGCAGTGACTCTGACTTGCCACATATCTCACTTCCCTGCAGCAGAGAACAAAAAATTGTACCAGTGGTACCTTGGAACAGAAATAATACGTGAAATCCCAGGAAATACCCTCCAGGTCCGTGATTCCGGAGAGTACAGATGCCAAACCCAGGGCTCGCCCCTAAGTGATGGTGTGAGCTTGACTTTTTCTTCAGGTGAGAAAAAAGTGAAAGAAATAAAAACTTTAGGAACCATACAGTTACGCAGAACCTGCCCTATAGTTACTGGATCAAAATCTATACAGATAGGGCCAAGGTAAAAAGAAATTTTTTTAAATTTTTTATTTAAATTCAATTTAGTTAACATATACTGTATTATTAATTTCAGGTGTAGAATTTAGTGATTCATCAGTTGCATTTAACACCAGTGTCATTATATTAAGTGCCCTCCTTAATGCCCATCACCCAATTACTCTTTCCCCGCCCAGCAACCCTCAATTTGTTTCCTAGAGTTCAATGTCTCTTATGGTTTGCCTGCCTCTCTATTTTCATCTTATTTTATTTTTTCTTCCCTTCCCCTATGTTCATCTGTTTTGTTTCTTAATTTCCACATATGAGGGAAATCATATGGTATTTGTCTTCCTCTGACTGACTTATTTCACTTAGCATAATATCCTCTAGTTCCATCCACATCATTGCAAATGGCAAGATTTCATTATTTTTGATGGCTGAGTAATATTCCATTGTGTATCTATATACCACATCTTCTTTTATCATTCATCTGTCCATGGACATCTGGGCTTTTCCCATATTTTGGCAATTGTGGACATTGCTGCTATAAACATTGGTGTGCTTGTGACTTAGGTAAAAGGGAATTTGAGAAGTAACTTATTTGAATGGTTTCTGAGTCTATGTATAATTTTAACCTTAAAAGATTAACTTGGAAGGGTGCCTGGATGGCTCAGTCAGTGAAGCATCTGACTTCAGCTCAGGTTATGATCCCAGAGTCCTGGGATCAAACCCCATGTTGGATTCCCTGCTCAGCTGGGAGTTTGCTTCTCCCTCTCCCTCTGCAGCCCCCCCCCCTCCCCTACTTGTGCTCTCTCTCTCTCTCAGATAAATAAATAAATTTTTTTAAAAAAAAAGATTTACTTGGAATAATAAGCAGCATGAGAATTTTTCAGCTAGGTAGACAGGCAGACAGATAGAGGTACAGCTGACCCATGAAAACATGGGTGTGAATTGCACAGATCCACTTACATGCAGTTTTTTTTTTTTTTACAGGACAGAGCTGTAAATGTATTTTCTCTTCCTTATGAATTTCTTAATAACATTTCCCTCTAGTTTACTTTGTTATAAGATTATAGCCTATAATACAGAGAACATACAAAATACGTGTCCGTTGACTGTTCATGTTATCAGTAAGGCTTCTAGTACAGCTGGCTATTAGTAGTTAGGTTTTGGGAGAGTCAAAAGTTATACTCTGATTTTCCACTGCGTGGAGGATCCATGCCCCACCCCCACATTGTGCGAGGGTCAACTGTATACAGAAAGCAAGAGAGAAGGAAGAAACATTTCTCTTTTTTAGGTGCCCTAAAGCCACCTGTTTTGAATTTGAAGAAGTTATAATGCTGTTTGCTTTCATGAACAAGGAAACAGTATAGTAACAGGGAGAAAATAAGATGCTTATCCTCTTTGAACTGGCAGTTCTTCTCCTAAGAATTTACCTACTGAAATCATAGATAAGCAGCCCCCAAACTGACGGAAATTGAATGGTCAAGGAAAGGAAACTCACTAAGTAAATTATATCATGTCACATTGAAGGAAAACTTGGAGGCCATTAGAAGTCAGGTTCTCTAACAATATTGGTGGCAAAGAAAAGTGTTCATAGCACAGTAAGTGAAAGAGCACGTTATCAAGTATATACATACTACTCTGATTTCATAAAGAGAACACAGTACACACAGACTCTCATGAACTTGCAAATGGAAAAGAGCACCAGAAAAGTGCACGCCTGAGAAAAAGAGATTTTTACTCACTTTCTGTTTTCCAAGTTTTCTCAGGGCATATGTGTTCATTTTAAAATCAGAAAAAAAGGAATTGTAATTATTTTATGCATTTTCCCCCATCCCTTATCCTATAAAATCTGTTCAATATACTAAGGACAAAAGGGAGAATCAGTGGAGGGGACCAAATGACCGCCTTGCATTTCTTGCAGCTAAACTGATCCTGCAGGCTCCCCATTCCGTGTTTGAAGGTGACTCTGTGATTCTGATGTGCCGAGCAAAGGCAGAAAAGGTAGACACAGCCCCGAAGACCAGGACCCTGTATAAGAATTACCATAGGCTGATGGACCTTGATGAAAACTCCAACTTCCACATTGAACACGCAGGGTTGAAGGATAATGGAGAATATTACTGTATTGAATCTGAGACCCATTGTTGCTCTGTTTCTTCAAACACAATCAAAATCCAAGTCCAAGGTAAACCCTTCATTATTTGTGAGAAGGGTTCATGGGAAGGAAGATCCCTGAGGTGGCTGAGGGAGAGAATGGTGGGCTGGGATATCACCCAACTCCAGGGCTCATTCCTGCAATAATCAGAGAAAGAGCAAGAGTGCTTTGAGCTGAAGAGTGTTGGGCTCGTAAGTGAACCCCTCTTTTCCCGCTCTTCTCACGGCAACTGCAGAAGAGCTGTACTTCTCTCCAGAGTAGCTCCAGGCCTCACTGCTCTGGGGCCTGTTGTGATTCTTCTTTCTAGAGCTGTTTCCACATCCCGTGCTGAAGGCCAACCCCTCCTTGGCCACCCCTGGGAACCCAGTGATCCTGACCTGTGAGACCCAGCTCTCCCCTCAGAAGTCAGACATCCAACTCTCGTTCCACTTCTTCAGAGATGGCCACATCTTGGGGTCAAGCTCGAAGAGCTTTCTGAAAATCTCCATCCCCTCCATCGTGGGGAACGAAGACCCACCGTATTACTGGTGTGAGGCACGGGCAGGGACTCCCAGTGTCTACAAACAGAGCCAGAAATTCCAGATACCTGTGCAGAGTAAGTGTAGGCAGGTGCTCAGATGTGCTGGGAAGAGCCGGGCAGAGCCGCACAGCCCCCCTCGATTGTCCCATCAATCAGTGAATAAAGGCCCCGCCACTCCTGGTCCTAGTCCTCTTCCTGCCACCCAACCCACCTCTCCCCTCACCCGCTTCCTGCTTCTTCCCCAAGTCGTCTGCACTCGTCTGCTCAGCTGCCTGACCTAAACACCACAGGCTGCATGTTTACACAACAGAAGTGTATTCTCTCAGAGTTCTGGGGGTTACGAGTCCAAGATCAAGGTGCCAGCAGATTGGTGCCTATGGACAGCCCATCTGTCCTGCAGGTGGCCACCTTCCCACTGTGTCCTTATCTAGCCTCGTTCCTCTGTCTCCTCCTCCTCTCCGAGGATTCCGGTCTTATCTGATTAGGGCCCCTTTAGCCTTCATGATCCCCTCAAAGACCCCATCTCCAAATAAGCCACACTGGGGGTTTGGGCTTCAACATATGCACTTCCAGGGAATAGAGTTCAGCTGATAACACATCTTGACATCTCTACCGGCTCCCAGATCTTTGAACATGTGTCTGTCTTTTGTGGGCCTCATGCTTTATCCAGCCCAGGACCATCACATCGCTCAGTGTGTCTGCAGCATCTCTCCCTCTCCCTCTCTCTCCCTCTCCTTTTTCTCTCTCTCCTTCCCCCCTCCCTATCTGTCTCCCTCTGTCTCCCCCAGGGATACGGAGGTGTCTGTTTCCCAATTATCAGTTAATTGCTGACAATAACCAATATGCGCCCCCTGATGGGATACAGAGATGGGTAGTGGCATCATGGTTACTCCAAAGATGTGGCCAGGGGTGCAGAGAACTGCAGACCCCATCTCTCCTTCACCAGTGCACTCAAGGCCATTAGGACAGTCGTGGCCGTGAAAGGTCACAGCTTCTACAGAGGCGTCCCTGCACTCAGGGCCAATGCCAGCCCACTCCCAAGAAGACATGGGATTCAGCACTAGGACCAGGACTCAGGAAGGAGACAAATCAAGGTCCTGGCTGGCTCTGGAAACAGCCTGCCGAGTGGCTGCCAACTAGTCTCTGAGCTTCTTCCTGCGTTCTCTCATCTGGAAACAGAGGGGGTCAGGCTGGGTGCAGGGAGAGTGTAGGAACAGACGAGAGGGTCCTGGAAGAGTGTGTGAATCTGGAAGGAAGAAGGGTGAAGGGATCCCTGAGTCCAGCCCCAGTGAGCGGAGAAGTGGAAAACAGGAACAGAGAGGAAGACTTCTTGACTTGGGTGGGGGAGGGGCAGCTCTTCCAGGGTCACAGGCAGGAGGAAGGAACAAGTAAGGGTGGGGCCTGGCAGCCGCAAAATAAGGAACTTCGTCCCCAAGAGCGTCATTTACACTGGGAAACCAGACTGAGGTCACCTAACAAGGGGCGCGGGTGGGGAGAAGGGGCCGCGGGTGGAGGGAAAGGGAAAGGCCAGCCTTTCCTGGAGGGCAGGGGCTGAGACTGGCCAGTGATGGAAATGCGCAGGAGCACCTGCTGACTGATGTTTCTCTCCCTCAGTCCCCGTGTCTCGTCCTGTCCTCACCCTCAGCACTCCTGGGGCCCGAGCTGTTGAGGGAGATTTGCTGACGCTTTCCTGTGAAGCCAAGACAGGCTCTTACCCCATCGTGTACCAGTTCTTTCATGAAGAAGTAGTTCTCAGGAAGACGAAGGCCACTTTTGGGGGGATGGTGACCTTCCACATCTCTCTGACTGCAGAGCACTCTGGGACCTACTCCTGCACCGCGGACAACAGCTTGGGTGTCCAGCGCAGCCAGCCGGTGTCCCTGTCTGTCACCGGTGAGCCTTGGGCGGTCAGTCCCCCATCCCTGTCTGGAACCGTGTCCCCACCTTCCAGGGCCTCTGCCTCTTCCTCCCCGCCTGATGTTCTGGCTCACACCTCGGCTGTCCACCTCTTTGCAGATCTCCGCTGGTTCAGGGCAGCAACCTCCCTCCCACCTCAACCCCTGAGGAGCCAGATGTTTTCCTCTTTCTCACCACTTGTCCTGTGAACCCCCAGAAGCACGGTGTTCTCGGAAACCAAAATCAGTCCCCAGGGGCCCACAGGTGTTTCTTGTCCCTTTAATATTGCATATTGATCACAACGGGTACAGAGCCACGAAAGACACATGGGCAGCAGTGGGAGCCGAGGTCCTCCACAGATGCCCAGGCACCTCTGGACTGACAGGCTGTGGGGCCAGGTGGGCGCCGGCAGGCAGGGGGAGGCAACGCAGGGGGCCCGGGGAGCAGAGATGGCTCTGCCTGCCGACTGGGCTTCAGACCCCGAAGCCACAAAGGTGGGTGTCCAAGTTATGAGGGGAAAGTGTCTTCCGCGGAGCCCTGAGTCTCAGTGTTGTGCTGTCTGCGGAGAACAAATTCCAGGCACAGTTTGGGGGGGCGGGGACTGGAGGGCGTGGGCCCGTACTGGTGCGGAGTCCAGTCTTGGCTCAGGCCCGGAGCAGACTCCGGTTCCTCGTCTGTAGAAAAAACACAACCAGGCAGGAGACAAGCCAGGATCCAGTCCCTCCCACAGCTGATGCGCAAAAGGTTCTGAGGAAATGGACCCGGGAGTCCTGTGGCAGGCGTCAGATGAAAGACACAGAGAAACAGGCTCTGACAGCCAGAGGCCCGCGGACATCGGCCAGCGGCATCACCATGAGCGCCCTCCGCTGCGGAAGGTTCTGCGGGACGGTGCCTCTGTTCACCTAAGGAAGAAGGGCCGTGCGCGCCCTGCTTGCGGGCTGCGCTCTGTCTCCGGAGGCCTCGGACTGGCCCGCGTGGCCTGTGCACACACTTCTGAGGTCGAGCAGCAGGTGTGGACCGCAGTAGGGCAAGCACCAGTCCAGGGGCTATGAGTACCTGGAGGCTGTGGGTGTAAAGGGGCACCCCAATCTCTGCTGTGCCGTAAGAGGATTCTAGGGGAGTCTGCGCATGAGCTGACGGCTGGATGGCGTGTCACGGGAAGCGGGGAAGGGCAGGGAGAGGCTGTGGTCCAGGCAGGGGCAGATGCCGAAGGCCTGCGGGAAGGAGGGGAATTGTGCAGGACCAGGACCTGGGGACACCTCAGACCCACGCCAAGGACTTGGGCCTCATCCTAAAGGGAGCTCTGGGCTCTAAGAACAGTTTTACACTGGGAGGATCACTCTGGCTGCAGGAGAGAATGGATGGCAGAAGAGCCCGCCTGGAGAGCAGCCAGGAGCCGAGCAGAGGCCCCAGAAGAGAGGCCAGTCAGGACCCCAGGCCAGCCCCGCGGAGGGGGAAGGCCCCACGGGGACTGTGGCTGGCAGAGGAGGCGCCATGTGCTCGTTTCCCACAGAAACCAAGGGAAGAGCCTGAGCAGAAGACAGGGACCAGTTCAGACAAATCAGCCGAGAGCTGGTGAGAGGCGAGAACTGAGTCACCTCCCCTGAGTTCAGCCACAGAGCGCTGAAAGCAGAAGCAGAATGCAAACGAGAACGGAGTCTCTGGGTGTGCCTGCTTCCTCACCACTTGCATCGTGAGGCCTCAGCTTCCCCTTCTGTAAGACAGGATCAATAATAGTACCTGCCCCCAGGGTTGTTTGGGAATTCAGTACGTGTCCGCATGCCTGTGTTTACCATTTTTTATGACAAACACACATACACCTGGCACCATGCATGGAAGCGTTGTATTATCATTATAATCACAAATATGAACAATCAACTTTACAGATTGGTGGGGATAAAAAGCAGGTCTCAATGCACACACACAAAAAATAAGTGAGAGGCAAAGAAGTGGAGACAGTAAATGTAGCCCCTTCTTTCAAAGATCCGTCCTCAGAACCAGGGAGAAAAGCATGATGGGGAAGAGCAAACACAGATCTGGTAGTTTTGTTTTGTTGATTTTCTCACGTGGAGAGGATGAAACACATCTAAATGGAATGCAGAAGAAGCCAGTAGAGCTGGAGCTGGACAGAGGCAGGTGGGCTCCCTGGGGGGAAGGAGGAGGACCCTCCTTGGTTGGGGGGGGGCAGCTTTTCCAGGGTCACAGGCAGGAGGAAGGAACAAATAAGGGTGGGGCCTGGCAGCCGCAAAATAAGAAACTTCTTCCCCAAGAGCGTCATTTACACTGGGAAACCAGACTGAGGTCACCTAACAAGGGGCGCGGGTGGGGAGAAGGGGCCACGGGTGTAGGGAAAAGGAAAGGCCAGCCTTTCCTGGAGGGCAGGGGCTGAGACTGGCCAGTGATGGAAATGCGCAGGAGCACCTGCTGACTGATGTTTCTCTCCCTCAGTCCCCGTGTCTCGTCCTGTCCTCACCCTCAGCACTCCTGGGGCCCAAGCTGTTGAGGGACAAAGGGCGACACTTCACTGTCAAGCCCGGAGAGGCTCACCCAGCATCCTGTACCAGTTTTATCATGGAGATGTCCCCCTGCGGAGCAGCTCGGCCCCCTCTGCAGGAGGGGCGTCCTTCAGTGTCACTCTGACTGCAGAGCACTCTGGGACCTACTCCTGCACCGCAGACAATGGCTTCGGCCCCCAGCGCAGTGACACCAAGAGCCTGTTTGTCACAGGTAAGCCCTGGATTCCTGCCAGTCCCTCATCTCTGACTCTTCTGTCCCTGTTTTACAGAAGAGGAAACTGAGGCCCCACGCGGTAAGTGGCGAGGTAGCAGGCACACCCAGGGACTCTGTTCTCATTCACATTCTTCTGCTTCTGCATTCAGTGCTTTGTGGCTGATCTCAGGGGAAGTGACTCAGTTCTCGTCTCTCACACTGAGCCCTTCAGAAGTCTGCATGTACCCTCCAGTCCCTGCACCCCCCACACACACACACACCTGGTGCCCCTGGCGGCTCCCTTCCTGTAGAACCAGCTACCTGTGGCCTCAGCCCTCACCCAGCCCTCGCTCAGCCAGACCCCTAGATAGCTCAGCGTACTCCCCAGCTTTTGCCAGATGAATTCATTCCCTCAGAATATTTTCTCATGCCCTGTAGGTTCAGTCCCCAAGGCAATTTTTTTTAACCCAATGCACAGAAGCATCCCCTGCTTTCCCCACTAACACATGCACTCACGTAGCCCAAGCACAGTCATGCGGACAACTCGCAGGCGAGCCCTCAATTTCTCCGGAGTTCCCAAGAGGTTCAAGCCCTCACAGTAGAGTCGACGAGGAAAGGAGGAATGGCTTTCTGGGGTTTCCATGATGCTTTGTCTTAATCCATTAAAATAAGTTTCATTTTACTGTATTACGTTTTTAAAGTTTTTGTTGAAGTATGACACGCATTCAGAAAAGTATACAAATCAGGGGTATACAGCTCATGGTGACTCATGTAACCACCAAAAAGGTGTCATCTTTGGAGTGAAGTTGCTTCTATTTACACTGGGATCTTTGCTTATTGGAGAGTGAAAGTCCAGTTGTTCATCGGTTTGTCTGCTTTTATGAGAAGCAGAAGTATGACCAAAAGATCTTGAGCGGTCCATTCCACATCACAAGGAAACAGAGGCCCGGGGTGTCCCCAGAGGGAGAGGGCTTGTATGGACATCCAGGAAGTGAGAAAAACAAGAAAGACAACACTTGTAGACCCATGGAAGAGCTGAGAGATGTCTCAGAATAGAACTTATTTCTCAAAAGCAGGTTATATTGATACGCAACGAGCTAGAAGCTCCCATCACTCAACTCACAGGCCACCAGCTATTTTCCTCTTATCCCCGCACACCATCCCTGCAGCTCCTGAGCATCCTCCACTCCTTTCCCTCTCTCTCATGACTTCTCTTGACTCACAGCTTCTGCAACACCCAACATCGACTGCTCAGCTTCTGGGTGTGACCCCTTTCTCTGTATTCCACCCTCTGCCCCATATGCCAATGCTGGGTGGCTCAGAGCCAAAGCAGTGGCTCTACCTGGTCTAAAGGGGGATTGGGGGGCAGCTTCGCCTCCAAGCCACCCCCTAGGCCACAGCCAGTGCACTGCCCACCTCTAGCCCAACAAAGTATGGAAACAACATGACACATAATGAAGTCTGTTTCAGAAAATACTTGTTTTAGGGAACTATATGCACAGCAGTCTCTGAGGTTTCCTAGAAAGAGCCAGTGTACCTGAAAAACACTTAGGTCGTCGGATCTAAGTATGAATCAGAAAACCTGAATTCTAGCTCTGGCTATGAACACAACTGGTTCGTAATTTGGGCAAAACGTTTGAACTTTCTTTGTCTCACTGTTTTCACCTAAATTCGAAGTTAGATAAGACAATAATTAGTGTCCCTCGTAGCCCCAGAGTTCTGTGATTTGAGTTGGAACAGGAACCCTAAGGCCAGGAGTTCATGAACCTCTGGAAGAAATGAAGTGAGGGAGAGTGTGAGAGGCACCAGTCAAAGCCCCAGAGAAGAGAGCCAGGGAAAACCGTGCATGCTGCCAAGCTGGGCTCCTTTACCTGTCCCAGCAAGAGAGAGCACCACCATGACGGAGCTTCATCATCGCTCACGGCGGAGCTGGGGGAGGCACCCTGAGGGTTGTGGGAGCGGGTGGTAGTCAGAGTGTGAGTGCAGCTGGGGGTGGGGGCTGCTGAGTATGCAAACTGGTGATGTGCTGGTCTTAGGAACACATGAGTCTGGGTACAGATGGTCTTATCTTTGAGCATATGGATCTGAAGGCTCTCAGCTCCTTGATAACCCTTGTTTTAGATCACAGAAATCAAGAATGACCAAAAGAAGACATTCCCCCAATATGAAATGTGGGGTAAAGAGATGATTTAAGAAATTTAAGTGTTCTGAGACCCAGATTCCAAAGCCAGAACTTAATCTATCTAGGAACGCCCCCAGCCCTAAGGCATCCTCCATCCGATTATCAAGTTTTATTTTCTTCTCAAATTTAGCAATGCCTGAAACCTCTTTATCTCCTGTTTCTTGTCTGCTTCCCTCCATACCATGATATAAGCTTCATGAGAATGGAACCTGATCACGGGGTTTCCATGACACCCCGTACCTATTTGGTGTCTGGCAAAGTAGAGGTCCTCAGTCAGCATTTACGATTCAATGAACAAAAAGTCTTTGAGGTAAAATGAGGAAGAGAGGAGCAGGAAGAGAACACTGATCTTTGCATCTGCTTATGTAAGTGAGCAGAAATTAATAAGCCCTAGATTAGCGAACAAGTTATCTGTGAGCTAAGTGAGACGCTTCACTGTGAGTCAGGCAGATATTCTGACAAAGCAATCTACTCTTTTGAGGGAATGTGCCCCCAAAAAAGGCAAAGAGATACCGTGGGAATGTGCTCTGATCTATATCACCAGCTCTGAGTCACTGAAACACACACACATACACACATGGACACATCCAGGGGCACACACACACAGCATTCTCAAGCAAATACAAGACTCTAAATACAACTTTATCCACTGAAGAATAGGTTATGAGCAAAAACGAAGCACAATATGGGAGTCTTTGCATTGATGCTTTTAAACTTAAAATGTAACACATAATATCTTTAAAAAGAAAAATTACTATAGGAAACAAAAAATCCTACAAATTCTTCTAAATATTCTCAAAACAATTAAGGAAAATATGGACTTCAGGGAAAAAAACTACAAAAAGGAATAAACAGGTTAGAGAAGAGATGATAACACGAGATTTTAAAAATTGTCTAGCAGAGCTCAGAAGAAACACCAAAAAAGAAAAAAAAAACCTACAAAGCTATTTTGGAAATGAAATCCAAATTTGAAACAGTAAGGCTAGAATGTATATTTCTATAAACTGTTAATAAAATGAAGAACTGGTTTGAGAAAATAATACAGAATGCGAAGTAGAAAGAGAGACACAGATACAAAGGCAATAAGACAAAAATATAAAATACAGAGGTCAGACAGTGAAGACCGCTGAGTGGAGTGTCTCTAAGTTAGGAAACCAAACTGAGGAAAGAAACAAAACTCAAAGATGTAATAAAAATTGTTCCTGAAGCGAAGAAAACTTGAATACATAGATGGAAAGATTTACCCTGGGGAGGTTACTGAATGTCGAGGTTAAACATCTGTCTGTGTGTGTGTGTGCGTGTGATCATGGCAATAAGTAAATAAGTAAATAAATGCAGTCATCTCGGAAAGAAGACTGGTCTCAGACTTTCCACAGAAATCATTGCTAAGAGAGAGGAGTCATGTCCAGACTTGTACTTTCGAGGGAGGAAAGAGAACCGAGAATTTTATACCAAATCCGAAAGTCATGCTCAGACATGCAGGGACTCAGGGAACTTAGTATCCATTAAACTTTCTTTAAAAATTACTTGATGACAAAATCCAGCCAGCCAAAATAGGAATTGATACAAAGGACTCAAAATGACTTCACTGTGATATAAAACGTATACACTGAATCTCTCTCAGCGCTGGCTGCCGGGAGAATCACTTAGGAACTCTGAAACAGGCTCGTTACTAAGCCTCTCTCCAGACCAATTAAACTTAGAATCTCTCAGATGTGGCCTCAGAATCAATATTTTTTAACACATCCTTAAGTGAGACTATCGTACAAATAGGGCTGAAAACCACTGATTCAGAAATGAAAACAAAGGCTAATCAACTATGAGAATCATGGTTACAGAAAGTGCCCAAAATGTAAAAAATATATGTAACAAAGAAAAGTCAGTTGGTCTACGGGAGGAGAAGAAATAAAAGAACAACAATTCTCTCATGATTATTGTTCTTATTTCATAGTGGAGAACAAAACAGAATTGACTGGATACATTTTGAAAAATTAAGCACAGCTTTCAAACTTTCCATTTTGTCAGTAACGTCTGAATCCTCTACAGGCAATAACTTCTCATTAATGGATTGTAGTTCACCAGCAGCCCCTGAAACACCCACTAGAAGACCGCAGGGTCACATAGGATGCAATGGGTGAATTGTTCAGAGACAATAACTATAGAATTTAGGATTAGGAAGAGAAGAAATAATAAGCTTCTGCACCTCCTTTGACTCTCACTGATGAGAGTGTGGGAACTGGAATTCTTATATTCCCTTAGTGCAAGTGCAAACAGGTCCAAAGTTTTTGAAGAACAGTCTAGCATAATATATGTTTATTTGAAATGTTCATATTTCTCATCCCAGAAATTCCACTTCTAAGAATTTCTCCTAAGAAGTGCGTACACAAACGTGCCATGATGGATGTGCAGGACTGTTGGCTGTGACGTTATCTGCAGGAGGAGAGCAAGGACATTCCCAGTGGCGGGGAATTCCTTCAGTGCACTATGGTGAATCCATACACTGGAAGGCTTTGCGCTTGTTAAAATAATCGAGCAGTATTCACCCCAAATCATCAAACTGTAAATTTAAAAGAGTTGCATTTTGTTATGTACTAATTATACCTCAATAAAGTTGGTCTCTAAAGGTGGATGAGATAGACCTTTAAGAATGATGTAGAAAGGGGCTCATGATGTGCTGCTGAAGGGAAAACCAGGGTATAGACCAGGATGTGTATTGTGATCCCATGCATGTGTGTGCATGTATGTTTTTATGTGTTTATTTATGTGTTGGTGTGAATGGGTGTTCATCTACATAGAAAAGATCTAGAAAGTGTCACAAATACTCTACAGAAGTAATCTCTGAAAAATGAAAATAAAGGAAATGTGAAAAGATACTGATGTCAACTAATTTATTTTTGCCCTCAGTCCCAGCGTCCCGCCCCGTCCTCACTCTCAGGACTCCCAGGACCCGGGCTGTGGTGGGGGACGTGGTGGAGCTTCGCTGTGAGGCCCAGAGGGGCTCTCCCCCAATCCAGTACTGGTTTTATCACGAGGATGTCACCCTGGGGAGCAGCTCGGCCCCCTCTGGAGGAGGAGCATCCATCAACCTCTCTCTGACTGCAAAACATTCTGGAAACTATGCCTGTGAAGCAAACAACGGCCTGGGGGCCCAGCACAGCGAGGTGGTGACACTCAGCGTCACAGGTGGGTTGCTTGTTCCAACTATAGCCCAACCGGCGACCCACTGTGCCCCCACCTTCCCCTGCAGCCGAGACTGGAGGTCCCATGGGGCCCTTTGTGCTGGGACATCACAGCAGGCCCACTGCCCACTCAGCCTCCACCTGGGAGCTCAGGATTCTGCATTTGCAGGAACTTGCACCTTCTCTTTGCTTGCTATGCACTTGCTAGAAGCAACACTGTAGTCACGGTGACCCGAACTTCCCTAACATAGACGCAAAGGTTTTCGGTACCAACTACATCCTGGTCAACAGTCATCAGCAAGAAAGGAAATTATAAGTGCAGCGGGTCTCACCTCGGAGGAGATTTAGGTGGAGTTCCCTCTGTATGATAATCCAGAAAAAGGCCAACTCACTCTCTCGTTGGCCCTTCAGTTTCCCTCGGCTCGGGCTCCCACCAGGAGCTCTGGCTAGAAGACTTCCCAACGTCCTCTCCTGACTTCTTACCCGCCCTGTTGTGTTCAGCTACAGCACGGTCTCCACCTGGCCCTGTCATGGGCTGACCTCCCCGCCAAGCCCCTTTAGTGCAGGCTTGGTGCCTCACCCATAGTCTTCCTCTCTACCTGCATTCGCCATCGGTCCATGACTCCAACGTCCACACGGCTGGGCCACTCATCACCGTGGCTTGTCGTCACATCAGCCACATCCACCTGCAGCTCCAATAACCTGGCCACAGCCTCCTGTCCTACTTGCTCCTTCAGCCCATCCGATCACCCCTGTTCTCAGACCCCAGCAGAGCCCCAGCTCACCGACATCTTACTCCCTCCCGACACTCGGTGACATCCCCGGCTGCGTGAATAACGAGCCTCTCCTGTTCCTAGTTTTGATTACACCAATTTCTCCTTTTCTCCAGGTGTCTCTTGATTCCTCAGAAGTCAGTTTAATCTTTGTTTTCAGGTTCCGCAGGCACACCCGTGACTGCACACCCAAGCACAGGAACCACACACAGCACCGCACCAATGTCATTGTTTCTTCAGATCAGAACAAATTACAGCTGGGTTCTGAGTAATGTTCCAAGGCCACTAAAACCCGAGGAAAACAGTTTCCAGTTTGAAAGGTCTCTCCTATGAAGAAACATATTTAAACAGTAGAAACTGATGCTTAACTATTTTTCTTCCCTCAGTCCCAGCGTCCTGCCCCGTCCTCACCCTCAGGACTCCCAGGACCCGGGCCGTGGTGGGGGATGTGGTGGAGCTTCACTGCGAGGCCCAGAGCGGCTCTCCCCCGATCCAGTACCGGTTTTATCACGAGGATGTCTCCCTGGGGAGCAGCTCGGCCCCCTCTGGAGGAGGAGCATCCTTCAACCTCTCTCTGACCCCAGAACATTCTGGAAACTATGCCTGTGAGGCTGATAATGGCCTGGGGGCCCAGCGCAGCGAAGCGTTTACACTCAGCGTCACAGGTGGGTTGGTCCTACCCTCAAGCAACACAACCAAGCCTGGCATGCCTTCTCTCCCCAGTGGCCAGACTGGAGCTCCGACACCCCCACTGCCGGTGTGACAGCCCAGCCGGGGACTTCCTGCCGGCACAAACCCATCTGCAAGTCCAGGTCCCTTCCTGCAGTTACGGCTGTAGGAGCCTGGACCTTCCAAGCAGCACAGTCTTCCTATATGGGATCAAAACTCCTCGCTAAAAATGCAAAAGCTTTTTAGACCATACACTATATACTGATCTATAAGTATGATTACTGAAAGGGAAATTAAGAAATTTTGAGTACGTGCTTCTCTGCTCCAAAAAAAGTTTTGGCCATTCCTTGTCTGGATTTTTCTCCCTCTTACCCCCACAAGCCTCTACTCTTGTGCTTCTTTTATTACCAGGAATATAAATATGCCTCAAACTTCTTTATTAAAAACTCTATATTAACATTAACTCCATGCATAGCCTTTCAGGAGACACAACCAAACCTGTTTACAAAGTGATTCTTTTTTTTTTTTTTAAAGGTTTTATTTATTTATTTGACAGAGAAAGACACAGCGATAGAGGGAACATAAGCAGGGGGAAGTGGGAGAGGGAGAAGCAGGCTTCCCGCCGAGCAGGGAGCCCGATGCGGGGCTCGATCCCAGGACCCTGAGATCATGACCTGAGCTGAAGGCAGAGGCTCAACGGCTGAGCCACCCAGGCGCCCCTACAAAGTGATTCTTAAAGCAGTGGTGGCACAGGAAGCACAGAGAGGTGAAAGCAAGATGGCATGGATGGAATCGGTCAGCCCTCCACCAAACTCCTCCATTCTCTATGCTACCCTCTGACCTCTTGCCATTAAGTATTATATCCAAAGGGAAACTGCTTCTTGTGAGCTCTGAACCTATTGTGATGGCCCCTCCTGGCTGGCCAAACCTCCAGACTCCTGCTTAGGAAGAACTGGGGTATAGCAAAACTATGTAGGGACAGTTGAGAAGAATGTTCTGGTCATCACCATTATCACCACCACCATCACCATCACCACCACCATCACCACCACCATCACCGTCATCACCACCACCATCACCACCACCATCACCGTCATCACCACCACCATCACCGCCACCATCACCGTCATCACCACCACCATCACCGCCACCATCACCGTCATCACCACCACCATCACCGCCACCATCACCGTCATCACCACCACCATCACCGCCACCATCACCGTCATCACCACCACCATCACCGCCACCATCACCGTCATCACCACCACCATCACCGCCACCATCACCACCACCACCACCACCATCACCATCATCACCACCACCATCACCACCATCATCACCACCACCATCACCACCACCATCACCACCCCCACCACCATCACCATCACCACCATCACCACCACAATCACCACCACCACCACCTCACCACCATCACCACCACCATCACCATCATCATCACCATCACCATCATTACCACCAACATCATCATCACCATCACAACCATCATCACCACCACCATCACCACCACCATCACCACCACCATCACCATCATCATCACCATCACCATCATTACCACCAACATCATCATCATCACCATCACAACCATCATCACCACCATCATTACCACCACCATCACCACCATCATTACCACCACCATCACCACCACCATCACCACCATCACCACCACCATCACCACCATCACCATCATCACCACCACAATCACCACCACCACCACCATCACCACCACCACCACCATCACCACCACCACCACCATCACCACCATCACCACCACCATCACCGTCATCACCACCACCATCACCACCACCATCACCACCATCACAACCACCATCATCACCACCACCATCACCACCATCACCACCATTATCACCCCAGCATCACCACCACCATCACCATCATCACCACCACCATCACCACCACCATCACCACCACCATCACTGTCATCACCACCACCATCACCACCACCATCACCACCAGCATCACCATCATCACAACCATCACCGTCATCATCACCACCATCACCACCACCATCACCACCAGCATCACCATCATCACCACCATCACCACCATCATTACCACCAGCATCACCATCACCACCACCATCACCGTCATCACCACCACCACCATCACTGTCATCACCACCACCATCACCACCATCATTACCACCAGCATCACCATCACCACCATCACCACCACCATCACCATCACCACCAGCATCACCATCATCACCACCATCACCGTCATCACCACCACCATCACCACCACCATCACCACCATCATCACCACAAGCATCACCAACACCATCACCACCATCATCACCAGCACCATCACCACCATCACCACCACCACCATCACCACCACCATCACCACCACCACCACCATCACCACCATCACCACCACCATCACCACCACCACCACCATCACCACCACAATCACCACCACCACCACCATCACCACCACCATCACCACCACCATCACCGTCATCACCACCACCATCACCACCACCATCACCATCACCACATCACCACCACCATCACCGTCATCACCACCACCATCACCACCACCATCACTGTCATCACCACCACCACCATCACCATCATCACCACCACCATCACCACCACCATCACCACCACCATCACTGTCATCACCATCACCACCATCACCGTCATCACCTCCACCATCACCACCATCACCACCACCACCACCATCACCATCATCACCATCACCATCATTACCACCATCATCATCATCACCATCACAACCATCATCACCACCACCATCACCACCATCATTACCACCAGCATCACCATCATCACCACCACCACCATCATCACCACCAGCATCACCAGCATCACCACCACCACCATCATCATCACCACCATCACCACCACCATCACCACCACCACCACCATCACCACCACCACCACCACCATCACCAACATCATCATCATCACCATCACAACCACCATCACCACCATCATCATCACCACCATCACCATCACCACCATCATTACCACCAGCATCACCATCATCACCACCAGCATCACCATCATCATCACCCCTGAGTCCTTGCATGTGCTAGGCCCTGTGCTTAGTACTTAGCATGTAATATCTCATTTCATCTTTAAGATAAACCAGTGAAACTACTTTTATCCCCAATTTGCAGGAGAGGTAGGTGAGGCTCAGAGGTAGAAAGTAGCCAGTTTACACACAGCTGGGAATGGGACAGCCAGGTTGAGGCATGGGCCTACCCAGGTCTCCACCTAAGTCTACATCGTGACATTCCTTCATCCTTTGTGGCCATGTTTTAACACAACTTTTGAGTTTTTAGTAATTCATTTTTCTGAAGGAATACATAAATCTTCATGATAAGAAAAGTGAATGGTACAAAAGGGACAATATGAAAAGTAAAGGTCTCATTCTACCTGCAGGCACACACTTTCATGTCCACATACTTCCAAGATATAACCACTGTTAATAGTTTCATGGGAGAAAAGAAAAAAAGGAAAAGGAAAAGAAAGGAAAGGAAAGGAAAAGAAAATAGTTTCATGAGTATTTTTCTCTCTTTTTAAAAATTTTTTATTTAAATTTAATTTAGTTAACATATGTAGTATTAGTTTCAGGGATAGAATTTAGTAATTCGTCAGTTGCATATAACACCCAGTGCTCATTACATCAAGTGCCTCCTTAATGCCCATCACCCAGTTACCTCATCCCCCACCCATCTGCCCTCCAGCAACCCTCAGTTTGTTTCCTAAAGTTAAGAGTCTCTTATGGTTTGTCTCCCTCTCTGCTTTTGTCTTATTTTAGTCTTCCCTCCCTTCTCCTATCTTCATCTGTTTTGTTTCTTAAATTCCACATATGAGTGAGATCATATGGTATTTGTCTTTTTCTGACTGACTTATTTCTTTTAGCATAATACCCTTTAGAAGTCCTAGCCTCAGCAATCAGACAACTAAAAGAAATAAAAGGCATCCAAATTGGCAAAGAAGAAGTCAAATTTTCACTCTTCACAGATGACATTATAGTCTATGTAGAAAACGCAACATACCCCACCCCAAAATTGCTAGAACTCATGAATACTTTTCTAGAAACATTCAAATATATTATAAACATAAAGGTGTAAAGTTTTTTCACAGAAGTAGAATCAGGTTATACATAATTATGCAACTTGCATTTTCACTTAAAAAATACATCTTGGACGTCTTTTGTATTTCATCAGTCAGTTAACTATCCCTAAAGGAAGCAGTCTTAGAGGCAGATTTGCAGGGTCAAATTTGATGTGCATTTTAAATTTGGCAACTTAAGTTTGCCAAATTTGAGAAAGTGTCTCAAATCCGCAATCCCGCCTAGAGCATGTTGAGGTGCCTGTTTGTCCACAAGTCCAAGAGTATTATCTGTCTTTTTAGGCTTTGTCCTTCTGATGGGTGTTTTTATTTGTATGTATTTAATTAGTAACGGAGATAATTATCTATTGGCTACTTGAAGTTTTCAGCGATTCATACCCTTTCCACACTTTCCTGTTGGGTATTTTTGTGCATCTGTAGATTAAGGTCAGTAGCTTTGTCTGTCATATGAGTTTCAATCTAATTTCCAAGATTGAGATCTGGCCTCTGCCATTTGTTTATAATTTCTGCTCATTTACGAATATGTTAGAAGTAGGAACTTGTATTAACTTTTTGTCTCCCTCAGTCCCAGCGTCCCGCCCCGTCCTCACCCTCAGGACGCCCGGGACCCAGGCCTTCCCTGGGGACGTGGTGGAGCTTCGCTGTGAGGCCCAGAGCGGCTCTCCCCCAATCCAGTACCGGTTTTATCACGAGGATGTCACCCTGGGGAGCAGCTCGGCCCCCTCTGGAGGAGGAGCGTCCTTCAACCTCTCTCTGACCCCAGAACGTTCTGGAAACTACTCCTGTGAAGCCGACAACGGCCTGGGGCCCCAGCGCAGCGAGGAGGTTCCACTGTCCATCTCAGGTAAGTTTCCTGTGCCCAGGCCACCGGTGTGGACAGATATCCCCTCCAAGGATATTCTGATAATCCTCACGATGTGCGAGCAGAGTACTTCTTCTCAAGGACAGGGACACGAAGCTGAGGGTTCTCTACGTGGTCCTCCTCTGAAGTGTGTCTGAAGGGGTGGTACTAGAGTGGGAGCAGGGGGCCAAGGAGGACCACCGACTATGATGCTCGCTGGTGGGCCCCGTCCCTTCCGGCCCTCCAGTCTGGCCTCAGCCGCAGACATGAGCTTCCTCCCCAAGAGCAGAGCCATTTCCCGGGCTGCTGCCTAGGCCCCCAGTCCTGGTGCCTGGACTCTTCCTCCCTCCCAGGCCCAGCATCAGCTGCCGGGGTCAGAGCAGCTCAAGACCACGAGCCTCTCCCTGCAGCTCACGTGCGGCTCTCCCCTCCAGGGCGGACAGGGAGCAGAAGCGGCTCTGTTGCCACCGGCGTGGCTGGGGGCCTGCTCAGCGTGGTGGGCCTCGTGGTCTTAGCACAGCTGCTGTATTACCGCCTCCCCAGGAGAGCAGGTGGGTACCTTCCGCTTGAGGCCCTGCCCTCCCCGCCGCCTCCCCTCAGGCTGCCTTTGTAAGCACCCCTGAGCTCGCAACAGCTCCCCACCTTCCCCGCCTGCTCCCCCAGAATTCGTCTTTACAAACACAGGGTTCCCAAAACAGCTCCAGTGCACCAAGATGCCTCGACGAGACAGAGTTTATCCAGAATCATAAACCTCAGTGTGTCTCCCTCTCCACCCTTACGAGCCCCCAGGGAAGGGGAGGAAGAGGAGAAAGCCCGAGAAATAGGAATGGGAGCAGAAACCCAGTGGGATCTGCTGACCTCCTGATTGTTTAATATGCAGTGTGTCCACCGCGGATCAGACCTGTTTCCCGCTGGCAGCTGTGGAGCATTGCTCTTGACAAAATCCTCTTTCATGGTGTGACTATGCCCCGCTGCAAGCCAGGCTCAGCAGTTTTCGCCCCATCTGCCACCTCCCTTGGGCACAGCGGAGCCGGGTCCACCTAGTGCTGGCGGCCTGTGCAGCAGGTTCTCGTGAGCCTCCTAGCAGCTGTGCCCCTTGTGACGGCCTCCTTCCCCTGGCTCCAGTGACCCTCTGCTTTCCTTTGCAGGAGGAAGGCCAACCTCCGGCCCCTCCAGGTAAGACCCGGGCTGTGCTGCTTGTGGCTCATGAGATGCCCACAGGGGATAAAAATGAACCAGGTCTGGCCACTGCTGGGGACACAGACAGGTTGTGCACCTTCGTGTTGCTGTTTTGCTTGGCATATGTCGAGGCAGTTGCCAGGACCTTCTCACCACCACCTTAGCTACACATACCTTCTTGCATCAAGAGTTAAGTGCTTTTTATTTAGTAACTTACATTCTCTACCACTGCCGCCTTGCTTGTCTGAGTGACCACTATAAGACTGAATCCATCCATGTCCTAAGCTAGTCTCACCTTGGCCACTGCAAAGCTCTGGACATGACCAACCTAATACCTGCTCTGGGGACACCCGAGACGATGGAGTCACACGACCGGCCACCCAGAGAGACCGCTCTTCCCACCGGAGGTGGTGCCTGTAAGAAGGGGCTGCCATCGTGGATCCCAGAGGCTAACCTTGGGACCCCCACCATGGCTCACAAACCATCTCTGGGCAAGCCCATGGCTGCAGCATCCAGACCATGCAGAGTTCCTCTGAGCACTCATCATGACTGATTTCTCTGAGATCCTGATCTAAGAGTTCGAATCCTGGCTCTTGCCCTTTGTAGTCACGTGGTCTTGAGCAAGTCACTTCGCCTCTTGGAACCATCACCTTCTCCATCTATAAAAGAGGGATAATGATAGAATCCGCTTCATATTGTTATAAGCATTAGCACAGTGCCTGGTGTGTATCAGGTGCCCACGAAGTCTGGAAACATCGTGGTTTGTAATGTGATCGTTCATACCAGCAGAACGTCGGGTATGTGCTCACCTACGCGTCCAAGCTTGGCAGCCAGCCGCTGGTATAAAGACCTGCAAGCAGGGAGTGATGATTACAGCGGCTTCGTCAGGGCTGCTGGGAGACATGGCTATTTCTGTCTCACAGGAGCCCTTCAGACTCGGACCCCCAGGAGCCCACCTACTACAATGTTCCAGGCTGGATGGAGCTGCAACCGGTGTATAGCAATGGTGAGGACCAAGGACCCCCCACTAGGGCAGGGACCCCAGGGTTGGTCCAGGCGGGGGTGGGGCAGGAGAGGACCATGGGGCTGTGCAGAGGACAAGCTCTGGCTGGGGGAAGTAGGGTCGGATAAGAGGCAAGGACCTTATAGCTCTCTCAAACTGCCCCTTCTTTCCAAGTCAACCCTAAAGGAGGAGATGTGGTGTACTCAGAAGTGCGGACGATTCAGGAGGGGAACAGACATGCAGGTAAGACCCGTGGACTCTCGACTTCGAAGGCACCAGCCGCACGCAGCTCGGCCTCCACCCCTTCTGCAGGTCTGGGCCGACCGGACACAGAGCTGCCCCTCACGCAGGGTCGCTGGTTTTCTTCACTTGCGCCCACCTGCCCTGCTGGGCTCCCCGGCCCCACCATGCCAGCCGTGCTCTCCATCCCCCACCGACGGCCTCGGGAGAGCCTGGGGGACACCTGCTCTGTCCAGGCTTTGGCATTCCCCGATGTCAAGAGACATGGGCTGGCATTTCTCTTCTCCCTCCATCACCTTTCTATTGCTGCCGTGACGCATGTCACCGACGCATGATCTTACGGTGCTGGAGGTCAGAGGCCAGACACAGGCCTCCCCGGGCTGCGCTCCTTTCTGGAGGCTCCAGGGGAAAAAGTACTTTCTTGCCCTTTCTGGCTTCTCAAGGACACCCCTCCACACGGCTCATGGCCCCTTCCTCCATCTTCAAAGCGGACAGTGCTGTGCTGCATCCCTCTGATCATTCGTCCAAAGCCGGGTCTCCCTCTGAGCACAGCTGGGAAAGTTCTCTGATTTAAAGTTCTCCCTAAAATCTCACCTGGATAATCCAGGATAATCTCCCACTGCAAGGTGCTTAATCTGAATCACATCTGCGAGCGAAGTCCCTTCTTTCGAGGTCACACACTCACAGGCTCCAGGGATTGGGACACAGACATCTCGGGGGCATGACTCTTCCTCCCACTCTAACCCACAGGGTTGAGAAAGCAGATGTCGTCCCAGCAGCTTGAGGATGACTCACTGCTGCTGGGCTGGCTCTGCCCATCCTCTCCGGTGGGTGCTCAGCCATGGCCGGCCCCAGCCCGGCTCCCTCCTGCACAAGAGACCTGCCTCTGGGGCAGACTCCCTTTCACCTGTGCTCTGTAAGGAGCGCTGTGTGATTTTACCCATTCTGCTTCCCTCTCTGGTTTTCTGATCCTCTTGTATAAAGTCAAACGAACTGTGTTTGTGCCCATGCTTGGTTCAATGGCTTACCTGTCACACACAGGAACTTGCTCATACTCACAACTTCCTTTGAGGTGAGTATTGTTATTATCTCAATCTTATAAATGAGGGAACTAAGGCCAAGGACCTTAAGTGAGACCGGCCTGAAGTCACAAAGCCTAGACAGTCCCTCCAAGCCAACAGGAGAGAGCCGCCCGCCGGATGTCACATTCCACGTTCCAGATTTAGGATAGTATATAAAAGTAATAACAACACCTAACGTCCCACCAACATGTGTTGAGATCCTGTGTGCCAAGTACAGTTCCAGGTGCTATAAATAAATACGCTATGTGCGCTTATATATTTAATGCTTGTTTATGTGTTTATTCATAGCAGTCAGGACCGTACCTGGCACACGTGACGGACACTGGAAAATACACACACACGCACGCACACACACAAACTCATATCAATTTACAGTAACCCCAGAGGGGGATGATGTTATTACTCCCACCATATGGAGGAGACCACCAGGGCAGGAGAGGTGGCCGTGACCTGCCTGAGGCCACACAGGTGACCCGGCCGGGCTCTCCGCAGTGCATGCAAGGAGTCTGAGCTCAAAGCACTAACAAGAGAAGAGGTGGTCTCAGGGAGCCTGGGGAGCTGGGAGGGATGCTGAGGAGGGCTGGGCCCCACCGGAGGCCGGGGTCTCAGGCCAGGGCCCTGGCGGTACAGGGAGGCTGCCGTCCGGGCGGGGAGAGGACCCGGGGTGGGACGGGGCCGGTGGGGACGTGGGGCGGGGCGAGAGCGCTGGGTCATCTTTGCCAGCTGAGTGCTGCTCTTCTTCCCACAGCAGCTTCAAACTCCACATTAAGGCTCCTCCAGACCCACCTGCCCTCCCACGGCCCGGCCGCCGGCCAGCAGCGGCTTTCCAGACCCCAGGGCTCCTCTGTCATCTACTCGCAGGTAAAGGTGGCACCACTCCCGGCCTCCGCGGCTCCTCGCAGCTGAGTCCACACACCGGCCCTGCACCCTAAGCCATCCTGGGGACAGGGACATGGAAGTGGGAAGATCTGAGTGGCTCCAGGCCCCATCCTGTGGCCTCGGCCATCAGCGTGACCAGAGCACGGGACCTGCAGGACACGGCTGTTTCCCAAGTGACAGGCTGGAGCTTGTGGGTTTTTTGTCCAGTGACGTGTGTCTCCCACCCAGGACCATCTTGTCCCCTGGCTTCCTCAGCAGGCTTCAGCCACAGTCTCTTCTCTGAGTCCCACTCCCACATACACCCCAAACTCTACCCAGTGGGGCCTGCTCCTGGACATCTGTGGACATCTGTGCCCTGTGGACACCTGTCCTCCCCACAGACATCTGCCCCCGCCCCCCGTCAACGCCCGTTCTCCCTGCGGACACCTGTCCTCCCCCGATGGGCACCTGCCCCCCACAGTGGCTTTCCTCAATGGTCATCACCCTGGCAGGACTCTACTGCAGCACTCAGCCAGGTGGGACAGCATGTGGCCCTGGGAACAGGCACGGGCAGTCTGCGGACCTTCTCACCATGGGGCTGCACTCTGTGCCCCCATCTGCCTCAGACACTAAGGTCAGCCCCTGACACCAGGACAGCTTCTCCCCTGCAAACGGGCTGATACCCCTGCCCGAGTCGGTGGGTTCACAGCCCCTTCCCGTGCGCCCTCCTGTGCGGGCACAGAGATGTCCTCTCACCCGTCACCGGGAGGAGACACACATTCCAAGCATGGGCCGTTCTGACAGAGCCACCTCCGAATGTCATAAAGACAGAGAACGGGGGACGGAGGAGGTCTGACAGTCTAGTAGGGACCGTGATTGGATGCCAGATCAAGAAGAAGCCACGGGAGAAATTTTGGACACAGGGAAAAAAGAATATGAACTTTATAGTATTGATACTATTGAATCAATAATCTGATATTACTTTAAGAATATTTTAGAAAATATTTGAAATACCTTGAAGCGATTCAGTAAAAATGTTTAAATGTGTGTGTTTGTGTGTGTGTTAGTGCACATTTCTTTGAGTTTGTGTGTGTATTCGGCCCCTGAGCAGCCTCCTGGGAGCACCCCCAGGCAGTGAGGTTGGTCCCTCCACGCTCTGACATGGGTCAGAAGGGTGATTGCGTCAGGGGCCACTCTAGGCCACGCCACACCCAAAGCCAAAAGCCCCTCTCTGCCCTATTACCCTTCCCGGATTATGTCATCTGAACTGTCTGGCCGTCCTTTGGGGCCAGCGTGCCAACCACTGAGCACCGCAGATACTCCCGAGACAGTTAAGCTCTGTCGGGGAGGGAAAGGCTCTGGGGCCATAACCGTGGACTACTGGGGGGTGTAGGGAAAATGTAGGACTTGGGTGTACAACAGAAAAACCCCAAGCTGACCTCCACACAGCAGGTTAGAAGGCAGTCTGAACACAGGTAGGGGTCTCTGTGAAGACTGTGTGCAGAGAACAAGTCGCTTGGATGATACACCGGTTAGAACTCAAAGATCCTAACCTGGTCTTAGTCCCTGATGATGCGGTGGAGACCTCTGATCCCCCAGGAGCAGCAACAATAAACATAACAGCAACTAGGAAGCCCTGGAGAAACCAGACAGATGAGGGGGTCCTGCTTTGAACCTGACACAGGCTCAATGCGAGGTGGTGGTGGGCAGATGACCGAGTGGAAGGCAGACACCATCCCCCGCGGACCGTTGTCCTCCGAGCTCCCAAGGTTTCCCTACATAGCTTTTTATTTCCTCCCGCGGGGGCCTCATTCCGGTGCTTGCTTCTGCGCGGGTAAGGCTCACGGCATCATGATGCCTTCACGCTGTGTCAATGCATTTTCAGAATCAAACCAAAGCACAGGACACTTAACGACAGTTGCTTCGGTCTTTTTTTTTTTTTTTTAAGAATTTTTTTTATTTATTCATTTGAGACAGAAAGATACAGAGTGAGACAGAGAGAGAGCAAGAGCAGGGGGAGCAGCAGAGGAAGAGGGAGAAGCAGACTCCTTGCTGAGCAGGGGACCTGGAGATCATGACCTGAGCTGGAGGCAGACGCTTAAACCAGCTGAGCCACCCAAGCACCCCCGCTTCGGTCTTTATGTACGATAAACACGCTAACCTGACAGAAATCAGAGGCAGCGAGCCCAGGCCCATCTACGCGCACTATTTCCTCATTTCCTATAGTCGAGAACCAGCAGATTTTGTCTTGAGATGATACAACGAGAAATAGATTCAAGTCACTCTTTTTAAGCATAAATCGAACCCTGGAAAAACCTTGTAATTTTACAAGTCAAAGCCAGGAAGTAGAGGGGCAGGAAGAAAGGAAGGTCATAAAAGACTAAATTCTTTCTCTTCCCTACAGTGGAGTTAATAGACACTCTCTAAAGTTGATAAATCCAGAATTTGCAGATGGTATCGTGACATTTATATCTGTGAGCCAATAACCAGATGACTAAAAACAGAAATTGTTAATTGCAGGGGCAAACCTCAAGTAAAAGGAGGAGAAACTTCCCTTTCGTTGTCCGCTCTGATCTACCGTTTGAATTTTTAAGCACAAGCATGTGTCCTTTGCAGGAGGACGTGTCTCTGTGGAGGGGTATCAGAGGATTGTTGCTGCACAGTGAAAACTCAAGGTAAAGCTGACCACTAGTGACCACTGGATGCCACTGGGTCCCCGGGCTGGCGCCAGGCCTGGGCGAAGAGTAGCCAGGAACAAGCTGGGGGAGCTGCGTCCTGTCTCCTGGGGGCCACCCTGCTGGAGACTGGTGGCCTTGCCAGGTGCCAGCAGCAGGAGAAGCATCCTGCTCCCGGACACGGCAGCCCCAGGCTGCCCAGGGGTTAGTGCCCTGCCTGGAGCACCCTGCCGTGTGGCATCACCTCGGGAGAAAACGCGCTGATGGACAGGTGCTGCAGGAAGGCGGGGCGGGGCAGGCGGCGCGAGGAGGGGCAGAGACGGGAAAGCCCCGGAAGGCGGCGTGGGATGGGACAGAGGCCAGCGGGCCAAGAAGCCATCGCATCAGGCAAGAGGGTGGAGCCCAGACTCCTGAGATCTGCCCCGTGCCTCGTGCCCCAGGTCAGCTGCCTAACCCGAGGCCGGCTTAGTGCGCTCACCTGCAGGGTGGGGTAAGGACAGGACCTACCCCAAGCAGCTGTGGTGAAGACTAAGATTTAAACATTTAAAAAACTGTTTTCTTGGGCGCCTGGGTGGCTCAGTTGGTTAAGCGACTGCCTTCGGCTCAGGTCATGATCCTGGAGTCCCGGGATCGAGTCCCGCATCGGGCTCCCTGTTCAGCAGGGTGTCTGCTTCTCCCTCTGACTTTCCTCCTTCTCATGCTCTCTGTCTCTCATTCTCTCTCTCTCAAATAAATAAATAAATAAAATCTTAAAAAAAAAAATTTAAAAAAAAAAACTGTTTTCTCAGCTTGGTAGTCTCCCATAAAGCTACACCCACACTTACAGCAGCCAGCAAGCCCTCCCCCCATCTCTGACCCCAGGGAAGTGAAAACCACCATTTACACCAAAACCTGCGCGTGAACATTTTTAGCAGTTTGATGACAAGTCTCCAAAAACTGGAAACAACGCAAATATCCCCAAACTGGTAAACGGATCAATCAAATGGACAAATCCCATACAATGGAATCTCACTGGGCACTAAAGAGAAAGACGGAGCTACTGGTCTCTGCGACCGCAGGGCTGAAGCTCACCTGCATCGCCCCGCGTGAAAGAACCATCTTCAGAAACTACAGACTGCGCACATCCATTTTCATGGTACCCCTACAAGGAGGAACCACAGGGACAGCTAGCCCGGCAGGGGCTGGAGCGCCGGGAGGGCTGGGCTGCAGGGCTCCCCACAAAAGGGACAGGGGGGTTCTTGGCGGCGATGGAATGTTCTGTCTTGACTGTGCTGCTGGTGGTTACATGAGCGTCTGTATTTGCCAAGACTCAGACCATGCACTAGAAAGAGTACATGTTTAAGTGGAAGGAGGCCTGTCTCTCGGGGAGCCTTTGTCCTTGTTGCGCCCCTGCCGGCTTCTCCTTCCCCAGAGCTTTACAGGGCTCAAGTTTCTGTCCAGAAGGCCCTTCCGGAGAGAGGCTAGCTCCGACCCCAGCCCCACGCCCGGCGCCGCTCACTGGCCCTTCGCGCGGCTTCCAGGCTCTTCACGGTCTTATCGCTGTGGGACCTCCTGTCACAGCGGCTCGTTTCCCCATCCTCTCCTCCCGCTAAGGCGCGGAGACCCCACAGCCCCCTTGGGTAATGCGTAGACAGTGCCCAGCAGGGTCTCGTTAAGTATGTTGTGAACGATGAAGGAATGATGCTTAGAGCAGAGCTGGGCGCGTGGACAGTAGTCCTTACGCGGTAGCTCTACCACCGTCATGTCTAGTGGTCACTCGTAGTGCTGGTGGCGATGCCAGGCCATGCGTCACCTTTATTAAAACGACACACGGCCCGGCGGTAACGTAAGTAGGTCTCTCTTCTCTTCCAGCGGAAGGACTGCACACATCGCAAAGGCTCAGCCAAAGCCAGGTCAAGTTGTTCGAGTGTCCAGGCCCAGAAGAGTTGCTAGGAAGCCCCGGGAGGGACGGGGCGGGAGCGGGAGAGGCCAGCATGCTGCTGTGGCCAATCCCCTGTGATGGGGGGGGACCTGTCCTGGCCTCCGGGAGCTCAGCCTGGCCGAGGGGACGGGGCTGCGGGGGACTGGGAGGGGGGGGGTCTCGTGATTGTTTGCTATCCCACCTGGCAGCAGACTGGAACCCCACACTTCTTTCCGTCCAGGCTCCGCTTCCGTGCACACCCCGCCCCGCACGCACGGGGGACACCTTCAGTGTCCAGACCCCGCCCCTGCCCCGCACGCACCGGGGACGCCTTCAGTGTCCAGTACCCGCCCCGCACGCACGGGGGACACTTTCAGTGTCCAGACCCCGCCCCTGCCCCGCACGCACCGGGGACACCTGCAGTGTCCAGCCCCCGCCCCGCATGCACGGGGGACACTTTCAGTGTCCAGCCC